ATGATGACCTGGTGAGGATTGGGGGTTTATGGGTAGTTACATTACAGTTCATGTCTTAATATTGATATCATTTGGACATGTTGTTGAGTTTTCATAACACTTATTTTTGAGAACTTGTTTTGGATTGGTTTATGAACTTTAATTTTGATGAATGATGTTTTTGATAATAAAAGTAACATTGGTGATGTTTTCATAAAATTCAAAATAAGACTTCCGCTAACGTATTCTGTTAAATAAATGTTTAAAACAAATTAGTGAAGAATCACGATGTTACAATTAGCTTAAGAGTAGTCTTTAGAAAAGTCTCAATATTTTGACCAATTAACGAAATATTCAGAATAGTTTTAGATAATCTGTTAATATTCTAGTTATTGATAAAAAATAACGTAATCTTCAGAAAAGTTTCAATATTTTGACCAATTAACGAAAAAATACGAGATATTGACTAAATTTGTGAATCCGGTCAAAAAGGGTTATTTTGAAGTCTTAGCCGATTATCTGTTATTTTTTTGTAAACAAAGTTTAGATTTGGATTAAACCGTAAACTGACTCTAAATATTGAGACTTTATTGAAGACTTCGTTGGTGATTTTAGTGTTATCAACATATTTTAGTGTAGTTATTATTAATGTTGAGATAGGTTGAGCTCTATTTACTCACCAAGACTGGAGGTGCGAAGGTGTACACTCAGAGTTGTAAATGTGAACTCAGGAATACGGGGGTCATGGGGTAGCATCCTTGGGTACAGGGTTCCAATGGACAGCAACCCTTGCAGGGTCCAAAGAGCAGAGCCCCTAGTGGTGATTCCACTAATAACTACCTTTTAACCACCATTTTGATGTCAAATTGGATGTTAACCACCTTATAACCACCAACTTCCTGTTATATAAGGAAGATGGAAATACAATACAACGGTTACAATATGATACATGGAAATCAGACACTTTGCATTTCTCTATCTCGAAGAACACTTGATAAACAAGGTATTCTGTGTTTGTAAATTAGATTGGTCCTAAAATCTGATTTGCTATCTTGAATTATCTCATGAATCTGCATTCGTGTAACCCCGGAAATAAGGGTAAACCTACAAATTTCGGAAAGTGATTTTCAAAAACACGATTCAAGAGATTATCCAAATTATTGTTATTTATACCCTTAATTTCTAACATATTACTTTATATAATAAAAAACAATGGCCTTAGGAACGATAAAGTCTTCTACTTTTAGAGTTTGCCACAAAAGTTTAAGATTTTAACTGATTTAGTCCCTGTAATTTTCAAATTTATAGAAAAGGTCATTGTAAAGTTTATTTTTTACAAAATAGTCCATATGTCTAAGATTTCTATATGTTGTCAGGTTTGATCCCTGTGTAGAAAATAAATTAACAAAATTGTCCCCGTAATTTACAAAAAATGTCATTGTGTATTTTTTTTTACAGAAATGGTCCATATGTTTAAAAAAATTACAAAACTATCCCCGTAATTTACAAAAGATGTGACTGTGTAATTTTTTTTTATAGAAACGGTCCATTTGTTTTAAAAAAATTACAAAAATAGTCCCTAACTAATAGAAAATTTACAGATTTGATCCCTACACTTTCATACGTGGGCAAATTTGGCCCTCCAAACAGTGCACATAAAACGATAAAATGATTAATAACAATACTTTTCTTTTGTGACAGACAAAATTGCAAAAATGGTCCCCGTGGTTGGCAAATTTATGTACTTTTGGTCCAAAACGAAATGTTGGTGCACCATTGGTCTAAAATTTGATCTTTTTATTGTTTTTGGTCCCTATCAACTTAAAATGACTATTTACCCCTTAGATTTGTTTTTATATTTTTTATGTTAATATTTTAATTAATTAAAAATAAAAAAAGACCCAACCACCCACCCATCCCTCTCTATCTCTATCTGCTTTTGTTCTCAAGAAAACACACATACACACAAACACACTCAAGAACATACAACCCTTAGCTGCCACCATCACCACCAATTGCTTCCACCGTACACCACCATCCGCCGCCAACCACCACCATCCGTCGCCCACCCATCCACCTTATCTCTCTCTCTCTCTCTGTTTGCCTGCCAGAAAACTCCAATTTTCCCCACGCATCTCCCTCGTCGGAAAGACGTGCTCAAATCGAACCAAGGGGTGCTCAAACCCAAATTAAACCACCCACCAAAAATCGTTGCCAGATGGGTGACATGCTAAATGAACCGGGTCAACAGAGACGAAGAGAGACATTAAACCCGAATCGGATCACCTACCAGACATGGAGCCTTTGGTGGTGGAAGATCAGTTGTAGAAGAGGATAAAAAAACTCCGGCAACAACATTAGATCCATCGTCCTCTCTCCCTGTCTCGCCTGAAACAACCACATTCATCACCTCCACAACCTCTATCGCCATTAGGAATGACAACGAGGCGGGTTCGGGGCGGGTCAGCATATCCCATACCCAAACCCGATAGTTAAATTTGGCCCCGATCCCTACCCGATACCCGACGGGATTCTTATCGGGGCAGAAAATTTCCCCGATCCTGAACCCGAACCTAAAACCCGATATAGACCCGAAAACCCGAACCCGAAACCCGAAATGGAAAAAACTACAATAGAACAATAAGAAATTAAAAGCTTACAAAGGCTTAAAATACCAAATAAGCTCTTGACATAATTGAACCAAATATGAAAAACCAAATTCATCGCAATAGTACATTACATTTAAACATTAAAACAAACTCAAAATCAAGCAACCTCTTCTACATCCCACCTTGTTGATCCACAGAATCAAACTCAAAATCAAGCACCCTCTTCTACATCCCACCTTGTTGATCCACAAAATCAGTATTTACTTGATTATAACATGAACCTCTTGACTACTTTCAGTTGGAGCATGAATTTGAGTGTTTGAATTCATATCCCCTGAAAAATAACAACTAATGTAATATCAAAAATCAGATACAACAGTTTGTTAAGTTCAAATCAGCTTAAATTCGAAATCAAATTCTTCACAAAATGAGAACTCAGACTCATCAGAAAACAGAATTCAATTCAGCATAACAGAAATCAAATACAACAGTTTGAAAGGTGTGAATCAAATACAACCATATCTTTAACGAGAGTAAAGTGCGTTGCTGTTTCCACCAATTTTCCTATTTATGTCAATATAAGTCAACAAACACTACAGATGATCGGGTATCATTATCTAGTTCAAGTATTTCAACTTATCAAATGTTACTTTTTAAACAAAACACACTTGCCACTTTTACAAATAAATACTATAGCAAGTGTAATCAAACAAATATTATGGAAAATAATTACTTGTAAACACATATCAAGAAAAATGTTACATATACATCAAAGTCAACTAAATCAATCTAAAAAGGGATTCTCCAAACGTAAGCAACATTTTCCTGATCTTTTTCATCTTTATCCAGATCCGAATATGTTTTTTTAAAACTCGGGAGATAAAGATCAATGATGAATTGTTGAAGAAGAACCAAAAGCGTTTGGTGGATTCAACTAGATGCCAAAACTCAAATTGAATCAAATTAATCAGAAATCATAACTCAAATCAGCTGAAATTCGACTAGATGCGATCATGCGTACAGATTCAGAACAGTTGTGCTACATTGAATCAACAAAAAAAAACGTAATCTTACCTGGATGGTTGTCGACTAGATTAGAACTAGAATCAGCAGGCCATTGTCGCTGGTGGTGAGTAGATGAAAACAAATGAGGTAAATGGCTAGCATCGATCAGAACTCGATTCAGATTGCAGGTCTCTGGCTCGCTGCTTGCTATTTCTGGTTCATGCGGTCCTGCCTGCCACGAACGAGGCAGATGAGACTTCCGAGGGGTCGACAACTCCACTTCTTTTCTTATCGAGAGAAGAGAATACAAATGAAAATTTGATTATGTCAATTTTTGTTGTCGGCTGGAAATTGGAATGGAAGAGAAAAGGATGCGTGATTTTAGGGTTAGAGGTTTGAAGGGCTGAAATGTAATTATATATATATATATATATATATATATATATATATATATATATATATATTTGGTTCAATTATGTCAAGAGCTTATTTGGTATTTTAAGCCTTTGTAAGCTTTTAATTTCTTATTGTTCTATTGTAGTTTTTTCCATTTCGGGTTTCGGGTTCGGGTTTTCGGGTCTATATCGGGTTTTAGGTTCGGGTTCAGGATCGGGGAAATTTTCTGCCCCGATAAGAATCCCGTCGGGTATCGGGTAGGGATCGGGGCCAAATTTAACTATCGGGTTTGGGTATGGGATATGCTGACCCGCCCCGAACCCGCCTCGTTGTCATTCCTAATGGCGATAGAGGTTGTGGAGGTGATGAATGTGGTTGTTTCAGGCGAGACAGGGAGAGAGGACGATGGATCTAATGTTGTTGCCGGAGTTTTTTTATCCTCTTCTACAACCGATCTTCCACCACCAAAGGCTCCATGTCTGGTTGGTGATCCGATTCGGGTTTAATGTCTCTCTTCGTCTCTGTTGACCCGGTTCATTTAGCATGTCACCCATCTGGCAACGATTTTTGGTGGGTGGTTTAATTTGGGTTTGAGCACCCGATAATGGCCCGAAACCCGACCCGAAACCCGATAAGCTCGCCCCGACCCGCCCTGAAATCTTCGGGAATCGGGTTTTCCAGTCGGGTTCGGGTTTTTTTGCCATCCCTAATCGCCATCTATTTCACCCTCATGCACCACCATAGAGAAACACCTCCTCGACCCCCCTACAAACGACACCAGTGGGGTTATAGACGGATCTGAGAGAATCCGAGCAGACCTGGGAGAAAGAGTGAGGGAGAAGTGACGAAGGAGGTTGGTGGCAGTGGTCTCGTAGATCGGTTCGACGGAGGTAATGTGTGGCGATGATTAGATCGGATCTCCAGTTGTTGAGCCACCACCTCCTCCAGTCTTATAGATGGTGATCGGAGATAGAGCAGAGAAAAAGAATGTGAGATTTTTTGGGGCTTTCCATGGCAGATCCCACAGGTGGTGTTGGTGGTCTTCTAATGGTGGGGATATGGTTTTCCGTCGGTTCTGGTGGTATAATGGTCGCCAGTGAGGGTATGGATGGTAAGGGGTGACAGTGTCGGACTCGGTGGCGGTGAAGGGAGGTGACAACGATGAACACAAGTAGTAGAAGAGGGGTGTTATGATGCCACCGATCTCATTTTGCAGATCTGGAAATGAAAAGATGGTTGTCCGGTAGGTGGAGGTCCAACAGATGGTGGTTCGGTAGGTGGTAGGGCGACCGATGATGGTGTTGCTGAGAGAGAGAGAGAGAGAGAGAGAGAGAGAGAGAGAGAGAGAGAGAGAGAGAGAGAGAGAGAGAGAGAGAGAGAGAGAGAGAGAGAGAGAGAGAGAGAAAATAAGTGAGTGGGGGTAAATGTGAGTACGAGGGGTGGGGTAGGTGTTATTTATTTTTTTCTTTTAATAAATTAAAAAGGAAATTAATAAAAGAAATATAATGGTATATCCGTCTTTTTAAGTTGGATGTGGACCAAAACCACACAAAAATGTCAATCATAGGGACCAAAATCGCACAAGGTATTCAAAATTGGACCAATGATGCACCAACATTTCGTTTTAGATCAAAAATACATAAATTTGCCAACCACAGGGGCCGTTTTTGCAATTTTGTCTTTGTGTAACTAGAACATATTAAACAAAACCTCACATGCGCCCCCCTACGAAAATGTAATTAGAAACTGGAACGATATCATTTTTATACGACACATTTTCAACATATGTTACTTTTTGAATAACATATGCTATTTTCATCTAAAATACAATACGTATGAACTTGTCTGCATACGTGGGATCGACAACTCCTAGTTTCTCAATAAAATTATGTTGTGGTTAAAACATATTCATATTTACTTAGAAAATCCTGAAATTGTTCGGTCGATCCAACGTACGAAAGGGCAGGGGCGTTGCCAACGTATAGACATGAGATAGGATCGAACGTTCAAGATGGGTTCCCAACTAACCCCTTCTTCCCACGATGCAGCAAGGCGTCTACCGAATTCTTCTTCTCAACTCTCCACCAACCCCCTCCACATTTCCCCACCAACAACTGGTATAAAGGCTGCGTGCATTCTCTCTCCTCCAATCTACCTTCCTCATCTACGCACAAGGCTGCAATGGAGCTCGTAAGTCTCCCCCTCTCTCAATACAACTATCCTTATCTCTTTATGCATGTCTATTTGCATTTCTATGCTGAAAGAGCTTCGAGGGGAATGATTTGAATGAGGATTTGGAAACTGGGTTTGAGTAATGATGAGTTGATTCTACTGCATTCTCCCAAGACCTGATGTATTCTTTTGTTTATTCAAGTTTGGGGATTTAACTTTGATTGACATTTTTTTCGTCAGGTAACGCCTGCTATCGAGAAGATGGGTGGACGCGAAGGTATTAGGAGGAATTCAACCCTAATCTGTGCACCGATAATGGCGGATACGGTGGATCAGATGTTGATTCAAATGAATTCAGCGAAATCTTATGGTGCTGACCTTGTTGAAATCCGATTGGATAGCTTGAAAGGGTTTAACGCTCGGGAGGCTATCCAAACCCTAGTCAAACTTAGTCCTCTCCCCACGCTTTTCACTTACAGGTGCTATTTCTACATACGCCACTCTTAGAATACGAATGCTGTCATTTCAGTTTTATTTTAGACTTTTAGTCCCCTGAATTGTATGCAAAACATAAAAGGATTCAACTAGCATCTACTTTTGGCTTTTTGATAAATGTTGTGCGTAATAAATGATATTCTAACAGTTTATCTACCTTAAAAGGTTTCTGATTCTGAATTATTTTCTAGACCAACATGGGAAGGTGGTCAATACAATGGGGATGAAGAGAGTCGATTGGATGCTCTGCGCTTAGCAATGGAGCTAGGAGCTGATCACATCGATGTTGAGCTTCAGGTTCCTTTCTTCTTCTCTAAAATAGATTGATCCAAACAAAAGTAAATGAACAATATTCTTTTTACATTGGCCTCAGGTTTTATAAATTCATTTGATGTCTACTAAAAATAGCGACATAGAAGTCCAAGTTATTGGATAAATTCGTGTACAAAAGAACTTAAATATTAGCTTATTTGGCTTAGAGCACCACCACAGTATTGAGAACTTATTTGCTGTTTTTCCTTAAATCAAGAACGTTGAATTTGCAACTCAAAAGGGTGGAAAGTTGAAGAGTTTTGTTATTTTGAGTCATTGACTTATTTAAAATTTGTCAATTTATGTGAGTCATGTTGGCATGATTGGTGTTTAGGATCCATCTCATGAAATTTTAGTATTATGTACATTATATTTCACTTATCAAAGAAATAAAAACGTAAATTATGATAAATGACCAAAATACCCTTCAATCGATTTGTTTTGTAATGGGTTATGAGGACAGTTTTGGTTGCTCACTTGTTATCTGCTTTCAAATATAATATTTCTCTCAAATTTCTCATGTTACTTGCTCACTTGCAGGCTGTTGATGATTTCAACAATTTAATTCAGGGAGATAAGCCTACAAAGTGCAAACTCATAGTTTCTTCCCACAATTACGAAAATACCCCTTCAGTAGAAGAGCTGGGGAACCTTGTGGCTAAAATACAATCAACAGGGGCTGACATTGTAAAATTTGCAACAACAGCTGTAGATATAACTGATGTAGCACGAGTTTTTCAAATAACTGCTCATTCTCAAGTAAGCGGCGTAAGTCATGCATCATATATTTTAGAGATATATATTTTTTGTATGATTGGTTCTTTTTATTTTTATTAGAAGCTCAAAAAATAATAGCAGCTTCACATTCTTCAATCTTCCATTCTTCAATCTTCCTTCCAACTCCTCTCATGTTATAATTGACGAAGAATGTGAAATTTGTTTCACTTTTTTGGAATGTAAGGGTAAAGTGGTCATTTCACTTATGTATACAACACTTTATCTACACAAACATCATCACCCATTCAACCACTTTACTCATACAAGACTTAATGGGAAAAAAAAGAAAGTTGCCTAGATAAATGATGTTTGAAAATATATCAGAAGATGAGGGCAAATTTGTAAAAGTTTTTGACTTAATCGGGAAAGCCTGGTTTTCTTTTCTTGAGTTTCTCTATTAAGTTGTTCTTTTTTGCATTAAGTCAAAAAGAAAGCCACATATATAACTTAACATGTCGCCCATTAAGTAAAAAAGAAAGCATGTTTCTTTTTTTTTACTTAATAGGGTATATTTGAGTGTTTCTTTTTGACTTAATGCACAAAAAACAACTTAATAGAGAAAGTCAAGGCTTTCCCAATTAAGTTCCAACTTTTTACAGATTTACCCTCACTCTAGTTTCCCAAACAATACTTAATGGAAAGAAGAAAACAGTTCCTTAGTAGCTTGAGATTCTACATAAAACATGAACTTGTTTTTGGTAAACATGAATTTATTTTGAGTAAATTGATTGATATTTCAGGTCCCAATAATAGCAATGGTGATGGGTGAGAAAGGGTTGATGTCAAGAGTACTCTGCCCAAAATTTGGTGGATATTTGACATTTGGTACCCTTGAACATGGAAAGGTATCAGCACCAGGGCAACCTACAATTAGGGATCTTTTGGACTTATTTAATTTCAGACAATTAGGGCCTGATACAAAAGTATTTGGTATTATCGGGAAGCCAGTTGGGCATAGCAAATCACCATTGTTGTACAATCAAGCTTTTAGATCAGTTGGCTTCAATGGAGTTTATGTACATATGTTGGTGGATAATGTAAAGAATTTTCTTGACACTTACTCTTCTACAGATTTTGCTGGTTTCAGGTATATACTTTCCAAACTAATTCCATTTTAGAATCTTTCTGGTTGTCAAATTTACAAAAGGTGAATAATGATATGATTATTGGATGCAGTTGTACAATTCCACACAAAGAATCTATAGTTCAATGTTGTGATGAGGTTGATCCAGTTGCAAAGGTAAATCACATTTTTACCATTAAAAAGTTTTACACAGATATTAATTAATGTTTATTATATAATAATGAAGTATGATTTTTCAGTCAATAGGAGCAGTGAATTGTGTTGTTAGAAGACAAAGTGATGGGAAGTTATATGGTTGTAATACAGACTATGTTGGTGCCATTTCTGCCATTGAAGATGGTCTACGAGGTTTCCTTCTATATATATATATATTTTTTTATAATGTAAATTTTTTTAATGAAAATATTTAAATGTTTATTTAATTTTTTTTTATAGGTCCAGGGGTTCAAAATGGTGTAAGGGGTTCAAGTTCACCTTTGGCTGGTAGACTATTTGTGGTAATTGGTGCAGGTGGTGCAGGAAAAGCACTTGCTTATGGAGCAAAAGAGAAGGGTGCAAGAATTGTCATAGCCAATCGGACTTATGGTTAGAAATGAAAATTTGAATTTATTTATAATTGTTTTAAATGGATAATTTTTATAAAGAATGTTTGTTTTTTTTTTTTGATATGTTATAGATCGTGCTAGGGAACTTGCTGAGATAATTGGGGGAGAAGCTTTATCTCTTGCTGATTTAAGTAGTTATGCCCCTGAAGAAGGCATGATACTTGCAAACACAACTTCAATTGGTATGCAGCCAAACATTCATGAGACTCCAATTTCCAAGGTTTGCATATCTACCATTCTTTCATCATATTTTATAATGCTTTTCAATTGGAAATGTGATTATGATATGAGGTGAATATGTGCATGACATGTGGGAGGGCATTTACGTCTTTTACAAGATCGTCCTAATACGTTCCTTACTTACGCAGGATAGTTAGGATTCATGTCAATGTGACAAAAAGTTTTAATATTTTTTGTCCCACCCATAAAGTTTTGGGACAGAAACTTGTTTCTTGATCTCTCCTATGTGCAAAAGACGTAAATGCCCTTCTCATTATCATTGAAGATAGCATTAAAAAGCTTGTTAAGTCCTGTCCTTTATAACAAAAACATTGATATACCCCTACAAAGCTTGTTACATGGAACATGATAATGAGGAGGGCATTTGTGTCTTTTGCACAAATGAGAGATCGAGTATGATTCCAAAAGTCAATAGGCCGTCGTGTTCTATATTTTCCTGCATAACAAACATGGCTTAAAGGGCATTTTGGGTACTTTAATCCTTTCATTTTTAAAAGATAAAATTTGAGAAACAAATCTTCTTATCAGTTGTTACCACCCCTACTACCTCCGGAAGGGCAGAATTGTCATTTTTTCTGTATTGTCTTGTTTTTTGGCAGGAAGCTTTGAAGTCGTATGCATTGGTATTTGATGCTGTTTACACGCCTAAAATTACCAGATTACTTAGGGAAGCAGGAGAATGTGGAGCCAAAATTGTTACCGGGGTGGAAATGTTTATAGGGCAGGCTTATGAACAATATGAGAGATTTACAGGGTTACCTGGTAAGATTTTAAAAATTTTAAATTATTTTTCCTTTTCCTTTATGTTTTTTATTATTAATTATACTTTGTAACTGCAGCACCTAAGGAATTATTTAGTGAGATCATGGCAAAATATTGATTGTTGCGGGCCATTCACCTTGGTATGTACCGCTTTGTATTGTATCACATCTTCCTTTATCTTCAGTTTCCTTTTAGACAGAAGGATAAAATGGTCATTTACTCAGAAATAGTTTCTATTTATAGATCAGTAAACTTCAAACAGACATCATTTAAGTATATAAGCTTTTTATATTGTATACAGAAACTGGAGGCTTTGAAGCAATATGTGGTGTATTAAGTGGTACACACTGGAAACAGGGAGAAGATCATTCCAATACTTATTTCTGCATCATTTGTTATTGTATCAGTATTTTTTTTTCTACAAGAATAAGGAATTTGTATTTGAGAGCATTCTATTCTCAGTTTTCTGATGCTAAAAATTGAATTTATTTTTATATGAAAAAAAGAATACTACGGGCATGAACTAATGATAGAGATAGAAAACCGATGCCACATCCATTAACTTCATCCCTATATTACACATGCAATACATAAAAAGCTCATACAAAGTAATGTTATTCATCTCGTTATCTTGAAGAGTTCGTTTTTGACTCTTTTCCACAAAGCTCTGCTCTTCATCACATATGCAAAGAACCATTCAAAAAGATCATAAGACAACATCCACTTCAATACTTCATACCCTTACCATCATTTCAATACTTCATATCCTTACCATAATTAGAAACACCCTTGAAGTCTAACAAAATGATATAAATTCATTTATGATATTTATTCCAATTTAGCTAACCTCTGTCGACTAGAGGGTTAGAATCCAATTCTACACGCTTATTCCGTTTAAATTTTAATTTGACACACCCTCCTCTTATTCATTTAAAACTATAACATAAACCCTATTGTTTAAGTTATTGTTATTATTAGAGAATGAAACAAATGTCTTGAGAATTTTTTAGGATTGGTCCTTTTAGTTCCTAAACTATTTTCATGGCTTTACGAGGAAACAAATTCGTCGGCAACTTGTCAATTTAGTCCCCTAGATTTGTTTCAACCGGTTTGCGTGCCACATCCACAGTATTTGACACATCAGACATGACATGGCAACCACATAATTGTTACCATTTAACCGAACGATGTCGAATTGTGTATTGATCGTACGACCCAAGTCAACACTATTCATACTCGTGTCCACATATAAACACAATTTGTGCCTTAAAATGGCAAAAGTCCAAAGTTTCTTACCCTTTCTGCGTACTTTAGTTCATACCCTAATCACTAAGAACATGCCGTCACTCCCATCTCCCTCTATTGGTCCTTCAGCGACCGCCATCACTTGAAAGAGAATAAGTCTAATGGAATCAGGGAAGAAGACATGGCCACCTGTCTACTCCAAACACATTTGGAGGTGTCATTGATTAGGGAGTAGGTTCATACTGACTTGCACGAACTACACTAGAGGGCCAGAAGAGAAATGGACGTCCTTAACAATGAGGTTGATAATGTTAGGGCAGGCCAAATGGACATGTCAAATATGGTTTCTGATCTCAAAAATCACTTCTACTCACTTCAAGCTTTGTATGTCAAGATGATCGTCGACAAGAACAAGTTCTAGAAAGTTAAATGTGTTTGGGGATGTGTCGTTGTTGTTGGGGTCGGGGTTTTAAGCTACAAGTTCTTCCACTAAGAGAAGAACTTTAGGTTACATGATTTCTTTCTTGGGTTTCTCATGTTGGTGTTGTGAAGCTTGGTTATTTTGGTTCTTATTTTGTGGTCCTGTTTGTGGTGGTAATCGTTGCTATTAAGATGTACGAACGATTTATTTTGTATAACCTATTATCTATGTAAGTTGATGGAAATGTATGAAACAAACACTATGAAATGAAATCATTATATTTAGGTAATACCATTCTTGCTATAACTTTGTATGTGCATGAATTCTGTATACCCCCAAAAAATAAAATAGGTTTATAACTAAGTCCCATATATTTGGATTTGCAGGCTAGGACCACATGCAAAAGTCAAAGTGTTTTTTTTAACTTAAAAAAAAGGATCAACAAGTGTTCACTTAAGAAAAAGGACAAAAAAGAATATTCTAACCCATGATGCACAAAATGGGACCAATGTATACCCCTTTCGTCTTTAACCCAAAATTGGAAAAAATAAGAAAAATTAAATTCTGTTGTTTAATTTGGTGTGTAGTTGGATTTTTTTTATGTTAATAAATAGCAACGTACTATGATGTCCATACTATTTTCATGTTAACTGATACTATCTAATTTATGTCCATTAATAGCATCATACTTTCATGTATATAATACCAAAATACCAAGGTAAAATGTCTTAAATTCCCCAATGGATAGAATGCCTAATGCCAATATGTACAAAATGCCTAAAAAACCCCTACCTGGTAAAAATGACTAAATTACCTAACATAACCCATACGACTAAAAAAGCCAATAACGACTAAAATGCCCCTAACTGTTAAATTAGCATGACTAAAACACCCCTAAATCCTAAAGTACCTAAAATGAGTAAAATACCCCTAAAGGATAAAATGCCTAAAAAAAGACTAAAACAGTATACTATGATGCTTAAGCAAACAAAATGTAGTTTTATATAGGAATCAAAATATCATATGTAAAAACTACCATAACATAAATTTAAATTACAATCATCATTCTCATTGTTTACAACGTTCACATATGTGAAATACCATAAATACCCTTGTTTCCAAACACAGTTAAAACATAAATTAATCCAAGTTCATTGTTGTTGCAGCACCGCTACCTTCACCTTGAACTCTTTTAACAAGCTTCATTTTTAAGGATTCTCTCAGCTTTTTTTTTCTCTTACTTGCTTGACCTACACTAACAGCATGGCTAACATCTTCATTAACCCTGACCACTTTCTCATCTTCATTATCATGCACACCTTGTTGCTCACCTTCATCAACCATAACATCATCTTCCATACACCCTTGCATATTTACTGACTATTGTGTTTGCCTAACCTTTTGTTTCTTTCTCACATTAATTTTGGGTGGCCTTTCCACTTGACTATAAGTGCTCTTGTTGTGTCCTGTTTGTTTGTATATGCCACAAGAAACCTTTTTCCTTGCTTTTGAAACTGTGTGTTTTCCAGGCCTTTCAGAAGCATCCATTGTTGTCTTCATGGTTGGCCTACCTGACATTCTTCTTTTCAATGGAGACAAAGGGGGGATGTACTCTATAGCAGGCCACATGTTGCTTCCATTAATCCCATGTATGGGGCTTTTGTAAGTATTGTGGAAGAAGGATCTCAAATACAATGGGTCTACATATGGTGCATCAGATTTAACGTTTAAAAATGATAATGTAGCAACTGAACGAACACACCCATACCCATTTAGGTGCCACAGCCTGCAAGTGCATTCCTTTTTTGGCATATAAACAACATAAGCCTCATCCATTTTACTTGTTTCAAACTTCATCGCCCCATAAGATACAACCTGCCAACACTTACATAATATAATATAAACAATTAAAGGTCAAACATGTAAGTTATGTATAAGTATATATGTGTACATACCTCTGATCAGTTTGTAGCTTATTCAACTTATCTCTAATTTTTGGACACACAGAGTAATGATTCCATCCTTGTCCCTTAACTTGCATAGTCACCATCCTTTGCATCACAAAAGTACAAATATTCTCTAACATCCTGATAATAGGTTTCTTCCAAGCATCTAATAGGAAACTATTAAATCTCTCTAAATAACCATTCTCCACAGATTTACAAGAAGCATGGTGAACTTTGAAAAAAAGCTAAAGACCATGTCTTAGGATCCTTCTCCATAAGATGAATAAAGGAAACAAGGTTTAACTATTGAATCTCTTTCATGGTTGCATTGAAATGTGCTTCAATTGTTTCTTTACTAGCTCACCAAAAAATATATTCAAATTAGGCTCCACTAAACCCCTTTCTAAAATTGGTATAGATATGCCTTGCATAATGCCTATGTTCTACTGCTGATAATACATCTTTCACTGCCTCAACCAAACCCTACATATGTAACAAGAAGTAATGAAGTTAGAATTGTCAATATTTATTGTAGTACATATAAAATGAATCATACCTTGTGTCGATAAGAAATTAGAGCTAGCCCAAGTCCTTCATTTGAATATTTCAAATCTTCTATATGATTTTCAATGAACTATTTACAATTTTCTTTGTTTTCTACACATACAACTACCCAAGTAATTGGGAATATTCCATTATTAACATCCCTACCCACTGCACACAAAACAACTCATCTTGGCAAAAACTTTTCAGGAAACAAACATCCAAGTTAATGATCCTTCTGCACCCTCCCCTCCACCTCTTTTTGACTCTAGCAAAACATATGTAAAATATTTCTAAATTAATTCTTACCATCAGGCATTGCATCCACAATTTTTTTTATAGTAGATCTAGTATTTGATCTTTTAATCTCCTCACCATATGACCATATTCTGGAATAATTTTCTGCAATTGTGCTTTCAACTAGAGTCAAAGCATACTTCTTGGCTCTCATACACTGACTCGTAGTCACATCAATGCCAAAAGTGTTTTTCACCTCCTTTCTAAGCAATATGACACTCATATTTTGATTGTTAACAAATTCTTGAGTAAAATGGGTACCTATCCTTTTATAAGTGATAGTTGATCCTAATTTGAAATTCTTTTGTAACATCCCAAAAATCAAGGTACAATTTTTTATTTTTAAATCAAGAGAAATCATTGTTTCCTGACAAAACCCAAATCAAAACCAAATGTCTACAAAACTGTAACATACCAAAAATCAGAGTAAATTTTAAAATTTTCAAAACAACCCAATAACCATAATGTTTATGTAACATCCCCAAAAATCATGACCAAAAATTTCATTTTAAACCATTAAATAAAACCATAGTTATCAAACCATCCCATGAAAACATGAGTCAAAGTATTTAAAAACATTATTATCAGAGTTCCAAATCAAACATTAGAGTAAACATCCCAGGCTAAATATCATGGTGTGTGCAATGCAGTCACCCCGAGCTCTTCTCTCTGCAACTAGAAGTACCTAAAACCAAAACTGAAAACCGTAAGCACGAAGCTTAGTGAGTCTCCCTAGACTACCACATACCATACACATAATCACATAAACTGGGCCCCCGCCTCTTCATCGGGCCCCGCCCGACATCAGAAAAAGTCCAGCATCAGGCCCCGCCTAGCATCGAACCCCGCTCGGTATACATATCTGTTTCTTTCCAGGCCCCGCCTGTCTCTGGGTCTCGCCTGCTATACACATACAAACTATATCATATAATCATATTAACACATAAAGAAACATACACAGTACTATATGCTCCAGTCCTAAGGCCTCGCCTATCTTGGGTCTCGCCCCTGCTCTGTTAATGATGAGTTATGGAACCCCGTCCATAGTCAGATAGTGATACGATACGGCCCCCCGCCCAT